CGGATCTCGATCCCCGAGACCCCGTATAAGTGGGCTTCTCTCCGTGTGCTCCGTTATCTGATTGATGGGCCCTGCTTGTTGAGGATTGGCCGTTTAATGTACTCGAAAATTCGACACCAGTGGCCTTTCTATGCGCATGTTTACACGGAGTTTAAATACTATACGTTCAATAGTTGATAATCCAGATGATAACGCGTGTCAAAACTACGATGGTGTTGCTATATTTAATGATTCAAACAGTTTTCTTGTTACTGTATATTTATTACCCGTAATGTCGATTTTGTTGTATAGACGTTACACACTATCGTAAAATAATAGTCCCGAACAATGGTAATGAGTGTCACTTACCAATGCTCGACAGAGAGCCCTGCATGTATCGGATGTGGAAAGGGTTGGTATACAAGTGTTACTTCTGTATACCTATAAAACTAGGAGGCAATCAACGGGTGGTGTATATACACACGCGCGCATTATCCCCAAATTCAACCCTCCGGTGGTATATCCCAGCAGATCCGTCTCGACTGAAAGATCAGTCGAGCGTATACACGTACCTAAATAATACCATCGACGAAACTGGATTTCCTGGCGGGCGACATCGTTATAAGTATACCGCTAAAACACGCGCACTCCCTTGTTAAAAGACTCGTGATTCGTCTGACTATACGACGCCACTGGGGTACATCTTCTCGGGAGACGACTAATACTATATACACGTACATGTATGTTATAGATAGGTAGGTACTCTAATACGACTTATAGTACATGTATAGGAGAGAGAGAGAGAGAGAGAGAGAGAGAGAGAGAGAGAGACCCCGGTGACAAGAGTACCACAACGACGTTAAAATTAGCCGGGACTAAAATTCAATTCCCCCCGTACCTTCAGACGAAAATGCGGAGATGCGCGGCGGCACAGGGTGGTGCTCATTTGCTGGGTAGCTATACTGCACCCATGTACCGTTATTATACCTACCAATACACACACATACACGTGTCGTTAATGTCTCTTAGCTGCGGAGCTTGAGCATCTCTGTGTGTGGGTATGTGTACCATTATAGGTATAATACACCCGAAGGAAGGGGGTGGAAGAGAGAGAAGCTTAGGGGCTGGTTAGTTAGCGTGCAAGTACACGTATCAAAGGCACTCAGAATTCGAGGAGAGAGCTTAACAAAGCATCCGCCCGCTAGCTTTGCTCCTCCTCCGTCTCATCCTCATCCACGTTCTCTCCTCTATGTGCGTTAGCAAGCTGCTAGAGATTCTGGCAAGCGTGTCACGTAGCGCAAGAGCGTATATTACGGATACCTGTATTAGACTCTGAGCTTTCATATATACGTACAGTAAGGGTAACTACCAACGCAAGCCTGCGTGCACGCGCTCTCAAATATGCCAGTTTCTCACTTCTCTGTCTCTCTTGCGGTTAACGTGCAGCAATTGTCTCCTCTATATACTCCGGAGGTGGCAGAGAAACTGAGCTTCCTAGCTCGTCCTCTTCGTGCAAGTACGTGATCGTGTCCTCATTTATACATCCTCTTCCTCCTCCACTTTGTATTTTAGCATCTATGCACGCTCATCTCGAGAACTCGGCGTTTGAAGAAACGAGTCGAGCTTGCGCCCTGGTTATCTTTGAGAATCTGCATGCAAAGAATACAGTATGTGAGTACGTTATTAAGAAATAAAGCTAACACGATGAGTTTTACGGTGGAAGTAGAGTTTTTTCTAATTACAAACTATACTTATTACCGTACTTTTATTGACACACGTAGACGTCATCGTCATCGGCGCTTCACAGAGTTGTTCGCTCTCGGCTGTTACTTCACCAATGGAGATTTTTTTTTTCACTTTCGAAACGTTTATTCTGTATCTTGAACGAACAGTTGTATAGTTCCAGTCGCAATTTTCTGGATCCGCGAAAAAAAATCAGCCGCAAGGTTCGCTGCTTCGTGTGTGAGAGACACTGGTTTATTCTGAAATATTATTGACAATATTCTAAAAAAGGTTATGAAACGTGTCAGCTATCTTTGAACAATTGTTTACTTGATCACGAGTGAATACTAAATCCACTTTCGAAAGATTTTGAATCGCTTCCAAATAAATTGTATTCCTCATCTGTTTCAGAAATACGCAATACTATGAATTAACATGTTGAATGTACTACCCATAAGTCGACCTAAAAGATTAACTTTAACGAAATAAGTTTTTACAATTATGTGACATTAAATCATCCACATGTATCAATAATGTATATTTACTACTAGCTTACAAATGATGCAAAGAAAAACTTCAATGTAGATCGCATAACGGATTATAACCTCTTCGCCAGTCGCCAATGAGGTTAACCAGGGTTGCTCGAAAAAACTTGTTCAAGAACAAAATACCTACTTATGAGTACGGTGTGCAATGATCACTTGGAGAGCAAAATTTATGTTCGTTCTCGAACGAAAACGACAAAAAGGGCCGACAGCGATCCAAGAAATGGTGAAATATGAGCGCGCGTGGATCTCGACTCGACTTCGTTGGATCACCGCGTATAGGTTATCTATTTTTACCTACTAAGTATATAAAAAGTAAGCGTAAGCCGATTTTACGTGATCGCACGGGAGTATATCCTCCCTTTACCACCCCGTCTGCAATATATAGCACCCGATACTTATGGGGGCAACGTCGAGGCAGCGACGCTCTTTTTTCATATCTTTATAAATGAAAGCACTCGTAGACGCCCGCTAGAATGGACTTGCGACTTTTTCCGTATAACATAGCTCACTGGATTTACAGTGAGCCTCTCTTTTGTTGTTTGGCCCGCAGCGCGAGTGGTCACGTACGGAATCTCGGGAAACTCGCTTTTCTTCGCTTCAGTCTCTCCCCCTTACATATAGATGATGTGCGTGAGTGCGACGAGAAAAAATTATATCACGTTGTAGATGTATATAGTTTCTTTACAATAAACGATGGGAGTAACAATAACAAGGGTCGGTGAATGGAGAAGGAAAGGCGGAGGCTTCTGCTGAAAAAATGTGTAAAAAAACACTTGACTCGGCTACAGAAAAAGAATAGAGGTGACTTTTTCGTATAATATATTTTATGGAAACGGTTTTTTGCTATCGTTCTGAAGAAAACTTTACGTAAGCAGAATACTCAAGTTTGCCACTACTTTTTATACAAATGCATTTAAGTTATTTCGCGCAAGTTGTAGAAGAATCTTCTCGACCAAGTCGTTAAACATTTCAAAATGCTCATTATATTAATGAACATCTAAACAAACCTGCTAAACCATACCAGTATTATTCGCCTGAATTGTTCGAAAATTAATTGATATTTAACTTATTGAACACAATAAAACAAAGTATTACTAAAGATCTCTGGCGATGCTATTTTAACATTTACTGACATCTATACTAATCAACATATATTTATAATAATCATTTTTTTTATTTCTTACCGTCAGACGGTATATGTTTTGATTGTTTCAACCATCTCATACCGTACGAAGGTAAGACAGAATTACGGTAAGCGAGAACTGATAATGTAGGAATTTGGTGTGTAGGGATCGAAACACACATATATATATATATATACGTCACATAGGGTGTTTTCCGCAATCGTCACCTGCAAGTAATTCAAGGTTGCGCTCTACGTTACCGCCAGGTCGGTAAGTCAACTACCTTGAATTAAACTGTCGCTCTGTTCCGTAATCTGGCCAGTAAAAATAGCAGACGATAGTCAACAGCGATGAAATCTTCACTTTTTTCTCGACTTTCATGTCGTCTGCTGTTTTAACTGACCAGATTATGGAATAGAGCGCCAGTTTAATTCAAGGTAGTTGACTTACCGACCTGGCGGTAACGTAGAGCGCAAATTTAAATTACTTGCTGGGGACGATTGCAGAAAACACCCCAAGCGGCGTTACCACCACGACCACGACCTACGTAACTTTACAGCCTCTGATTTTATCATTCTGGTAAAGAGAGCACGGTGTAAGATGTACGTGAAGTTATGTGTAGTAATTAAAGTAATTACTTCTAAGTAATGCCAAATGGTCGATTTTATTAAACCATATGAATATCTATATTTTTGGAGGTTGACTCTTGGGTAAAAAATATATTGTAAACTTGCCGCAAACAGCACAAACAATGACAATTTTTTATTGTTCATCCATATGATCAATTGCGGCTCGTTTATAATTAATAAAGTGACTTTACTGTAAATAGCAATAATTATTTGGATCAGCGCCATCTAGCGGTCTTTATTTTTTGGCCAAAAGTGGCTCCTAAAATTCTCAATCAGAGCATTCAGGATTAGAGCCATTTAGTCAATTATAAACCAGCCGCAACTCATGACGAAGCTATAAAATAAAAAAATAACAATACATGTGTTTTTGACGGCAAGTTAACAATCTACTTTCTACCAAACAATCGACCTCCTATGTGTTTATACCTTTAGAGATAAATTTTTAAGCATAAGATGGATTGTTAACTTGCCGCCAAAAACACATGTATCGTTATTTTTTTATTTTATAGCTTCGTCATGAGTTGCGGCTGGTTTATAATTGACTAAATGGCTCTAATCCTGAATGCTCTGATTGAGAATTTTAGGAGCCACTTTTGGTCAAAAAACAAAGACCGCTAGATGGCGCTGATCCAAATTATTATTACTTCTTATATTAGAGCCATTTAATGAATTATAAACCAGCCGCAACTAATTTCATAGATAGATAATAAAAAGTTGACGAGGTCGGTGCTGTTTGCGGCAAGTTTACAATCTATTTTTTACCCAAAAGTCGACCTCCAAAAATGTAGATATTTATATGGTTTAATAAAATCGACCATATGGCATTACTTAGTAGCAATATTGCTTTAATTACTATACATAACTTCACGTACATCTTACACCGTGCTCTCTTTACCAGAATGATAAAATCAGAGGCTGTAAAGTTACGTAGGTCGTGGTGGTAACGCCGCTTATATTTTGTTTTTTTGAATATTAATAGGTTAAGAAAAAGGGGATATACGTCATGTAAACAAAGACGAAGATTTTAATTGATTTTATATGTCAATAGATTTTATTTATCAGATAACATTCAATACACATATTGTGAAAAATGGAAGTAATGGAAAATTCTCCATTGTCGAAAGAAGATTATTTGATACGACGTGCGAACGAGGCTTTGTCAACCGATATTCATTCCGCTAAATCTTGGTTAATTACTGCCAAATCTTTGTTTCCCCACAGTGCCAAAGTGCAGGTATGGTGTAATTACCAAAACAGCAATAAATTACAAACACTTACACTGTACTCAAAAACCATGTTTATGTTATGTTTCAGTTTGAAGCGTACAGAATTGAAAAATTGTCAAAAAATGTTGCAGAAGCGGCAAAATGCTTCAGTGAAATGTAAAGCCGTAAATTTAAAAATAAATTAATTTATTTACCAACTAATTATGAATTTTTCCCTAGTAAACACCAAATCAATTGATCGTGTAGCTAATTTTTGATATGTTTTTCTACAGGTTTCAAAACTTTCCCAATGATAAAGAAATTTGGAAGGAAATCGAAAGGTTAACGTTTTCTTTAAGGACTGAACAATGCGACGAAGATTCACAATTTTTGTCCCTAATTTTTCAATACTTACCCCAAGACCTTCAACATAGATTACTGATCATGACGGCAGATCACAGCGAGGATACTATGGAGCATTGTAAATTATTATTGCTCCTATTGAAAAGATTTCCTCAAACTGTGGCTACTTATGGAGTAAGTTTGAGTTTCAAGTGCTTTTTTTTTTTAATTATTGAAAATGTATTATTTGTAAACATTTGTATTTGTTGCAGCCACGTTTAGTAGAAACTCTTTTAACAGCAGAGAAACACAGTCATTCTGGCAAAGCTGTCAATGAATTTAGAAAGCTACTAGCCTGCGAAGCTTTGCCCATACTTGGTTCAGCTCCAGTTGAACTAAATCCTAAGCTCAGCTTAAGGTTGCTCTGCAAAGCTGTAGAGTTTTACTTTGCTTGCATACAGCAGCCCCAAGATTCCCAAGTTGCAAGACCATGGGATTTTATGTTTCAAGTGATAGAACTTATGGGTCAAAAGTTGGGGTGGGAACTTAGCAATTTTTTTAGTACAGCGTGGAACAGAGACACTTACTGCGATAGACTTCAAAAATTTGCAAGTGCTCATACTAACGAGCTAAATCACTCATCTGGAATAACGGAAGATCCAATTGTACGGCAGCTTTTGTTATGCTCAATAATAGTCATGGTCAGAGTTTTAACTGAACACACTGCATTAATCAATAGCGATCAACTCCCATACTGTCTTGTCGAAGCATTTGCAGATCCAGTCACATGTACGTTGGATTCCACAAGAAGTATAAAATATTTTTATCGGAATTTAGAATTTTATAAAATGCGTTATTTGGTTTTCAGTGGTTACGGAACCAAAAGTCAAAAAAAGGAAGAGAGAAGAGCCATTAGGAGTAGTAATAACCTGTGATGGCGAATACAATGGTCACGGCTTAGCTTTGTTTGTGAAATTATATGATCTTGTACACAGCACTGATAACATGCAAAGAGAATGCAGTAAAATTATTCAACAGATGCGCTTGGAATCCTGGCTGAATCCTTTCTTAAATGATTTAACTATGTACAAAGGACTACATCATGATCTTCTGCTGAGGCTTCCTCAAGAAACGAATCCTGTGTGCATGCAACTTAGAATGGCCAGCTCGTGTTTCAGTGTCAAAGACTACAAGGTAAAAATATTTTTGCACAAAAAAACGAATCGTCAATTCTTCTTCCATACTGCAAATATACATTTTTGTTTTAGACAATGGTTGACTACGTAACATGCGTCGTAAGCTCGTTGCCGAATGTTGAGGGAAAAGTATCCAATAAACTGACAGTTCCAGCTGCTAGGCATTTACACTACCTCACTCTAGCTAGGTATCCAATTGTCCAGTATTGCTGTAAGCTTCTTCTTTCTGCCATTAAGGACAGTTTTTCATGGCCTGGAGGTGGTGGAGATTTAGCATTAGGTCATGCATTGGTGTTGATGCAAATTGATTGGCCACAAGAAGTTCAATTTCTTCATGTTATCCTTGAGAGAATTTTAAACAGAAGATCTCTTAGCTATCCTTTATTCACGGCATACGTTATAAATGTCGATATTTTAGAGGAATTGGCGTATATATGGTCTGATGATCATGTTGGAGGTGGCGTATTTTTAGATATCGCTACCACTACAGGAGTTTTACAGAGTAAGACAACCCTACAATTTTTTTAAATTGTAGTCATTAAATATATTTGTAAAACTTTTGAAATTTGACTTGCTGTACAGATCGCAGAATTTCAACTCGAAATGCTGACAAAGGTCAGCGGGAGGAGATAAAACAAATAATACGAAGACAAGTGGCTCGAGATGGCGTTGACGCACTTGACGAGTTGTTGCAGAGATTTATTCTCAACGAGAAAAAAGCCTTACAGCATAGTTTGGTTTTAAGATAGACTGAAAAATGTTTATATTATAGTGTAAATAAATTACTAAGTTTTTAATATACCAATCGTTTTTTGGATTATTTTAATGGAAAATAATGCTTTTTGACTGTCATAAACAACAAATTTTGTTGTAAAATCTTTATTTATGATTTAACATTCTTATAATTATTAAATTCTTACAAAATTAAGAATGATAACAATTGCTGTATTTTATATAAATTCATAGTCGAAAGTTTTTATATTACAAATGCTAGACGATATAAATTATGATATATATATATAAATATATAAGACATATGAATGCATAACAATATTACTAAAATAATGTATATAGTGCGATTTGCGATGGCGGAAAAATGTTTGCTCATCCGCATTTGTTAGTTTTAAGCTTTTGATTGAACGCAATTGCTCGCCACTCGTTTATTATTATCTAGAACTAGTATACAAAATAATATGGATATTTTGATACGTTTATCATTCAGTTCGTTATTATGCGTATTACAAAGACTTTTAAAATATAATTAAATTTGTTTATAAAAGATCGTAATCTGAACGTAATAAAAAGTTAGACTCCCACAACACTAGCATACATTACATGTAAAAACAAAAGATAAAGACCATATTGAATTTTTTCAACTTAATTGCCCATTGTATCGATGTAGTACTTGCTATTTACAAAATCATTAATTTACCATGGATATGTAAACATGATTTTAAAGCATTATTTATCGAGTAACTTTTCAATGACCCTCGCAATAAAAGTTAAAAGAAATAATAAAACTGGAAAGCTTGAAAAAATTGTTTGTTCCATGAGAATGCAAATTCCATAATTCTGAATTGCAGAAACAAAGCCTTGAGGTGAAGGCTGAACCTTTAACAAGCTTATCTTATATAAACGCCCAACTGCAAAGCACTTTGTAGCAATACTTTAATTCCTGGCATGAAAGATGCAATGTGACTGAAATCAGGCCCCGACACTAGTTGCGTGTGCAAAGCCAAGCCTTCTGAATAGTTTCCAGTCTGAATCGAGTTGGAGATTTGATGTAAGCCTTGTAATGTGTTTGGCGTAATCTGGAACAAAAAAAAGTTATTGTATTACATCGAGCAATCTGCAATTCGTACTAAAATTCATACTAAAAAAATTACCCTTTGTTCTCTTAGACAGTCATACAAGACTTCTAATTTTTTGGAAACGTCAGTTATTTTTCTTTTCACTTGCTGAAATTGAAAAATCTGTTATGAAAAAAGGACTAGCCAAAGGTATTTGGTTCTCTTTTTTTATTATATGATTAAGTACCGGGTTTTTCGCGTTCTCAAAACATCTATCTTTGAGCTCATTGAATACAGTTTGCAATACCATGTGCTCCTCTGGAATAGGTGCCTTCGGTTTTTCTGGCTCTGCAATCCTTGCCATTTGTACTGGTTGAGCTGGAGCTACAGGCTCAACAGGTCTATTAAATTGTTGCGGAACTCCCGGTGCAGGAATGTTCTGATTGTATTGATTGTATGTAGCCTGAGGGTCTGAGTAGCTTTGCATTGGCTGTTGTCCTGGGTGTACAGGGTGTCCAGGATAGCCGGGATTTTGTGGATATACCTAGGATATCATCGGAAGTTCACTTTGTGTTTATGATAAATCATGTACAGAAATGAATCTAAAATAGTACATACAGTCGGTTCTGGGGCAGCTACACCCAATGGATGTACAATTGGGTTTGGGGCCTGGAACTCCGTCTTTGGCTTTGTAAAAGAAGTTTTTATGATTTTAGATGTATGCAATAACAAGTTTTCAGTGATGTCAAACAAAATAAAAATACAAGTACTAACATCAATTCATAGTGGTTTTTATGAATTAATGTCGTTTGGTCAAAAACAATTTTTTTATGGAAAAACATTGCAGGTAAATGTTAATTGCATCATATACACACTTATTTGTATCTTGAAGAAAATACGAAAAATAAAGAAAAAAATAGCGTAGCAAAAGATAATACAAATTCCAATCATGATTTTTAGCATAGGTACTAGAGTATACACACAATTTTTTTCGTCTAGAAATAAATTTTGGAAACTGGCATAAAAAATAAAAGCATATACCATTACTTCTACATATGTATGAAAACGTGAAAAATTCTCTAAAACTGTTGTAAATACTCTGATAAATAATAGCAGGATAATCACTCGGGGCAATGCAATTTTTCTACCTTTGCATCGACACCCTTTGCATGCTTTGCTTTCCACTTCCGGCTGCCAGAGTGTTCTGCGCACATTTCGTTCTTGAAGAACAAAGCCATAACTGGCTACATTTCGTTCAGTAAAATTGTATGTATGAGATTTTTTTTAAGTAAAAACTTATTGTTGATTGTTTGCTTAAATTTTCGCTTCGTTATAAATGTACTTCTTTACTGCCCAATTTCAAATTCAAGTATCAATCAGTAATAACTTTATGGGATTCATTTTCTTGTTCAAATAATAAATTTCAAAACGGTAAGGCCAGAGTAATAAAGAAACTCTAGCATTTCCTCTGCTTCGTTGGAAGTAGCAGTCGTAAAAAACTTAAATTTTAAAAACCACCACCATTTACAACGATACTTATTTCAAATGCATGTGAGTACTTAAGTTCTAAAATAACCAGACAGAAACAAATAATCACAAATGTAAATATTTTTCTGATTAAGGTAGTTTTTAAGTTACTCATGCATTTATTCGAAAAATCTAATTTAAAAAATTCGTGGAATTAATTACCAGGGGCTTGTTGGCCTTGTGAGAAATGGGTGGATCATTCCAGCCCGAGCTCTGAGATCCAGATTGGTAAGGATTCTCGTATTCCGGCTGCTGAGACGATAGCGGCGGCGCCGAAGTTGCATTATTTGGTTGAGCCAGACTTGGATCGTAAGTCATTTGAGGCTTCATGAGAGTAGGAGTCGGCAAACTGGGCTGAGATGGTCTTTGTTGAAGCTCTGGTTCAGCAGGATTGTAAATCGTGTTCTGAGCTGGGTTGTTTGCAAAGCCTCCAAAACCACCAATTGGCTGTGGTTGGTGTGATTGATAAGGCGATTGATTCGGAAAACCGACAGGCGAGGGGAAGGCTTGTGGCTGCTGTAGTCCACCATACATGGATTGAGAAGACGTCGAGTAGCTCGAACCGTAGGTCGGACCAGATTTTACCGACGGATCGATGATATATTTAGACTTTGAAAGTGGTCCGACACTTGGAGGTCTGGAACCACTCAAACTAGAGGTCTGAGCGGATGCCGGTGGTGGTGGTGGTACTGATGGAGTCATAGGCGTCTGTCCGTAAGTTTGTGGAGCATAAGGTTCTGGTAGTGGTTGGTTTTGCGGTGGTGGTGCAGGTATCGTTGGTACGTGCGGACTTGAGGCTGGTAGACCAGGACTTCTAAATGGCTGGTTTGTCACTACTCCACCATATAGTGGCTGCTGCGGATGATTTAGTGCACCGCCAAACTGTTTAGTTGGTGCGGTGTTCCAGGCTGGAACTTGGGGAGCAGGAGCCACAGGGATTGGCTGCACTGGAGCAAACGTCGAAATAGGACCGCCTGGTATTGATTTCCTCTGGACATTATGCGTGTACATGTTCTGATTCTTCACAAAAGTAATGAAAATAAATAAAGTAAACATTAATACATGAGTAATTGTTGAAACACATTTGAGTGAAAAAACGTACTCTGTAAGTTTGTTGAGCTGCTGTACTTTGCTGGGGTTGAATAGATACAAGGCCAAGTGCTTTGTACAATCTGTCTCGCAATAAGGCAATTCTTGGTTCTTGACTTTCACCAAGATAACCAAGAGCGGCTTCAAAATCGCCCTCAGCAGCAAGCATTTCTGCATAACGAGTCAGCACTGATGCAATATTACCCTCGATATTAACTTTGTGAGGAGAATGGAAATCCAAGGCTTTTTGCATGATCATGACAAGTTCAACAGTCTCTTGGATATCGCTATTCGATGATTCAATTATTTTGTTGAGATTGCCCGAGCAAACGTAACAGATTTGTGCATCTTTTTGCAAAGCTGGATTTCCACTTGCTGCCAGTCGATCTCCCAGAGTATCTACAGGTATAAATTAGAAATAAAAATAATGTTATAAAAAAAAAAAAAAAAAAAAAATTGAAAAACACTTTGACCTTACCACACAACGCATTGCGTTCTTCAAGGTTTGTATGAGTGAAAACTCCAATTAAAGCTTCTTTCCAACTGTTAATGTCACAATTTTTTACGATATCTACCCAGTTTTCGCTTACTAAAGAACTAATAAGATAATTTAAGGTTCCACTTCGTTCCTTGAAAAACTTGTATTGCGTTTGAGCTAATAATTCGGGTCCTCCTGCCATAGCCAAAATTATGGATTCGGCGTATTTTTTATTTTCGAAACATAAATTTACAGCCGCTTCGATGTTACCCATAAGTATGGCTTGTGTAATCAGACCGTCCTCATCTACACAAAATACCCAAGAATAAATTATTTATGTACCAAACAAACATTTTCGTTACGTAAATCTTATATTACCATCTGACGTGTTAATTTTAAAATTAGTTTCTATCGGCTTTTTAACAGCTTTACTAGGCGTAATCGATCTTTTAATTTGCTCTTGTTCAGCGATGGCATCAAATGCAGCACTTCCATCAAAAGAATTACCATTAATTCCCTAAATTGAATAACTTATTAGTGGTAGTTTAAAAACTATTTTAATAGTTGAACAATTCATTACTCACATTATTTAAGTTCGAAACCCCTTCTGAAACATGATCAATTTCCGATTGAGGTATATATTTATTTAACTTATTATTCATTTCTTCAATATTGAAACCTAAAAGTTCCAACAAATTTTTTGTCACGTTGTCAGTGAAATAAGCCCCAATACAACTCCAAACTTTTCTCTTGTGCTCATCCAAAGCACTTTCAACTTTTTGGTTGCAAAATTCGTTGTACTGGCCATTTTTCAAAACAGATTCTAAATCGTTTGAGCGATGAACAAGTTCAGGATTCGTAGTAACTTGTGATAAGTATACTTTTCTGTTTGCAGGCACATTCGGGTCTGTCGGTTCGTTTTCAAAAATTGTTAATTTTCCACCAAACTGAAATGAAAAAAAGAACCCAATTATTTATTTCATCTCCGCATCAATACTGAATTGATTTTTTTAATCAACTTACACCAAAAGAAGCCCCAGAGCGCTTTTTTAACCACTTTGGTGCTTTCGTAAGTATAGCTGCGGCTTCTGTTTGTATCGTCGGTGGAACTTGCGAGAATGGGTCCATGCCAGGAAAAGAATCAACAATTTTGTTTGATGTTTCAGCAGATCCATGGTTAGCTCCACCTAACAGAGAATATACTATTGCCTGGCCATCAAAACTAGTACCCACAACCAAGCCAGGTGATCTAGGACACCAAGACACATTAAAGTTCCACTGATTTGTTTGAGCCAATTCGCAAACAATATCACCACCCTAAGATAAGATTTTTAATAGATAATAAGCATCATAAAATTCAAAAATAGCGCTGTGAGAAAAATTTAACTGCCACGTACTGGAATATCGGAATTAGGATTCCAACAGAGAATTCTATTGTCTTTTGCACAACTCAAAAGAAGGTCAGAATCATGAGGATTCCAGGCAATGGACAGTACACCCCTTTGATGGTTTTGGAAGGTTCTTAGTGGTGAGGTTGCAAATCTCAAGTCCCACAGTTCAATAATTGGAGTTTGATCCTCTTCTGAAGCAAGACATAGCTGTGTGGCTATATCAGGATGCCACTGTACTGATTTCCATCTAACCTAAATTAAAATAATCATAAAAAATTAATATGTTAAAAATTTCTGATAACAGGGTGTATAGAGACTCTTACTCTTGAATTGGCATCGGTTAGTTTTATTATAGCTTCATTTTTTTTTAAATCCCAGATGACACAGCGCTGCGAAAATGTTGAAGCAAGAATGTGTTGCACTGTAAGGAATAAAATGCTTTAATGAAAATTATAACTTAAAAAAAAAATTACTATGTAACGTACCTTGTTTATTCCATGCTATATCCTGTACATCCTCGGCTGGCAAATTTTTGGAACCAGGAGACATAGGCTTATTTGTATTATTGAGATCCCAAATATAAATTTCACTATCTGTCGCACCAGTAGCTAACAAATGAGACTGGAATGGATTAAAGTCCAGTGCTCTCACAGGACCTTTATGTTTGTCCGGGCTGCTAATCAAACAGTTGTTATCGTTCTCCAGCATCTTGTCAGCAGAGTAAATCTTAATTTTTCCATAATCACAGCCACCCACAATGATGCCAGCTGGATTCGTTCCGCAAGCTCCCCAGATTATTTTGTGAAATCTGATGGGTAATTATAATCATTGTACCAAATTTCTCAACATTATGAATATTTTAGTTGGTTATGAATAAAAAAAGCATGAAACCTTAGATCACTTGGCACACTGGTCTTAAGTTGCATCTCATAGCCTGGCTGCTCCAGGTTGAGAGAATACAAATCTAAACTAGCATTGGTACTAAAACTGGCATCCAACTGCTGAGCAGCTGTTCCTGCAGCCAGCAAAATTGGTAAGTTGGTGGGCTGCTGGACTGGTGGTGACCACGCCACATTTACAGTTTTATGCAATTCCTTCACCTTCATTTTGCAACTAAAACCAACAATCAAATGATCAGCACTGAAACATTAAATTGAAAAGCAACAACAGCTGATCATACAAGACACTCTCGCAAAAAGTCAAGCTTTGACAGGGGCCTGTTACTTAAAAAATCATCAGCATCAAAAAATACCCAAGAAGGACAGTTTATTCACCCACACAGCATTGACCCCAATTATGCAATTCCAAGCAAACGCGAGGAAATATGTACACAAGCTCCTCTCAGAATCCGGGGGATTAAATTACTATCTACTATAAGGCAAATCCCTTCTCTTTGAATCAAAATGCAATAACAATACCACCGTCTGTAGCAGCCGGCGTCTTGGAGTCTCCAATGCAATCTGCTTACCTTGGGATTTTATTTATCCGAAAACCTGGACAGGCATGCACTTAACTCGCGGCCGGGATGGGGGATGGCAGAGAAGACGCCTGCTGGCAAGCGACGTGGAAAATCACCCGAGCTAAGAATTAATTAAACACACCACAACACACATCCGTCAAATAAGTTGGACAGACTCGACTCTCCCTGTTCTTCTCTAATAAGTAGTTTTTCCTTCGTTCAACGTGGCGAGAGAGAGCAGCTGCCGCATACTCACACTTTTTTTTTTTTTTTAACATTTGCGAGATTTGTATGTATGACGTAAATTTAATGGACGCCTTCCATTTTCAAGTCGCGGAATATTCGAAACTGTCCAATCAAAAGTGCGCATTGGGCTCGAGGAAATTTTCGAACTGTTTTGCTATCCTAATCACAGAAATCGGCTTGCGGAACCACCCAATTGAATAACATCTTAAGAAAGTATTGCCGATTTAGCAAAAAGTTAGGGTAAAACCTGCAAACGAAAAGAGCACCCAAATAATCACTTAAATTAACCATCAGGAGGGATCATTGCTCAAACTTGTTTCAATGTTTATATTTCAAATAACTTTTATCATTGTTGAAACCATTATTTTTGACACAAAACCTATCGATTTTCAAGATTTTATATCCGAGTTAACTTGAAGTTTTTCATTTATAAAAATTGAGCTTCTCAACAATGTTGTAGTTGAGTTTTCTCTGATAAAGCTCTGAGCTTTGTGTGCATACATAAATCACTGATTCATCCGACGTATGCATATTTATTACATTACACATTCAAATACATAAAAAAGAACACAAGCATGCACATACTAATGATAAACAAATTATCGTGCCATGTATACGTAGCTCATTGGATGAAGCCCCATCAACAAAAGATCCAGCTCATCGTTCATCGGCTTACGTTCGTTTCAGTCTCTCTCAACGAACACACCGCGCGCTTCACAGCCAATGAATAAAGTCGACCAATCAAAGTCACCCACGATCCAAATCTCCCACGGGTCCTAGAACGTCTGCTAGAATGGCAGGGTTTAAGTTTTTCTGGATCATATTTAATTTGTTGTTGTGTCTAATTGTTTGCCTCGCTGGGTGAGTTATTTATCCTTATATTTGAAAAAAAATTTTTATTTTAGTACATAGTGTCGACAATACCTTGGTTTTTGTCGAGTAAACTTTGCCACCTAACCTCATTGGAAGTAAACACTTTATGATTTGGTCATTACAATGACTATTTAAAAATGCTTTACAATCATTTTTTTTTTCCTAAACTAATTTTTATCTGTACATTAAGTTCTTTTTTACTCGTCCATTAAAATTTGCACTCAATGGTACATACATTGTACTTAAAAGATTCAAAGTTTACAATTTTTTTATTCAAACTTGACAATAGGATTGTTTTGAAATCAATCAAATCACGCATATTATTTTAAGTACTTACTACTATTACTTTTATTGCAGAAGGGACTTTTATAAGATCTTGCAAGTCTCAAAAAATGCTAAAGCTACAGAAATAAAAAAACAGTACAGAAAATTAGCCAAAGAAACGCATCCTGATAAAAATCCAGATGACCCTGATGCGACTAAAAGATTTCAAGATCTCACAGCTGCTTACGAGGTACTGTCGGACAAGGATAAAAGGGAACGATACGACAGGTGTGGGGAAGAGTGTCTGATGAAGGATGACATATCAGGACATGGAGATCCATTTTCCAGTTTCTTCAGCGATTTTGGTTTTCATTTTGGTGGCGAGCAACAACAGCACCAGAAACAAACTCACAAAGGTTTCACCATCAATATGGATCTTTCTGTCACCTTGGAGGAACTGTATAATGGCAAAGTTGTTGAAGTAAGTTCCAAATAAATCTCTTATGTGGTTTAAAAACTCTTTACTTAATAAAACTATAATAATTATTTATAGGTCACCAGGAACAAGCCAGTCATGAGAACTGCTTCAGGAACTAGGAGGTGCAATTGTAGACAAGAATTAATTACTCGTAATTTAGGGCCCGGGCGAATGCAAATGACCCAACAAACAGTCTGTGATGAATGTCCTAACATAGCATTTGTAAATGAAGAAGATACTCATGAAATTAAAATTGAAATTGGTATGTTTGATGGTCAGCTAATTAAATTGCCCGAAGACGGTGAACCGCATATTGATGGAGAACCTGGCGATTTAATATTCAAGTACTATTTTTTATAAAAAAAATTTTTTTTCAACAACACATAATTCATAACATTTCTATTGGATCCATAACACAAAATTTTGACGTCTATAATGAGACATTTTAATTTTCAGGATCAAAACACAACCACATCCAATTTTTGAAAGAGTTGGCAATGATCTCTACACCAACGTGACGCTTTCCCTAGAAGAGGCTTTGGTTGGTTTTACTCTAGAAATCACACATTTGGATGGCCACAAAGTAACAATTCAGAGGGACAAGATTACCAGCATGGGATCTCGAATTAGGAAAAAAGGAGAGGGAATGCCAAGTTACGATGACAACACTGTTTATGGAAATTTAATCATTACATTCGATATTGATTTCCCCAAGCGGGAATTTACAGAAGAAGAAAAGAATGGTAAAACAATTGATCTCGTAGACTGTTTATAATTGACTTGTGGTGCAAAAAGTTAATTAATAAATTCGTTTTTACAGAATTCCGGAAATTACTAAACCAGGGCTCTAAAACTCGAGTGTACAACGGAATTAGCGGAAAATAGTGTGATTACCTTTAAGTACTGGTGTCGTAAAGTATCAGAAACTTGACAACTGCTGCGCATTTACATTAATTTATCATGGAATAGGATGTCTACCAGCGAAATGAGATATCAATGTGATTGTGATTATTTCCTTATAGTGTTACTTTATTTACCGCATTACATCAAATTAAGACTGTTGAGAGGGAAGCTTTGACAATGGAGTCAAAGTTAAACATTCAATTGTAAACTGCCGCAGTGAATTAAATGAATTTGAAACATATAATTTATTTCTAATACTTGAAAGTGAACAAGGGTGTGCTAGTGCTTTGTTCAAAGCATGTGTTTTAGCATGTGTACCTTTGCACTTAAAGACTGCAAGTTCCAATACGTTTTCTACTTGTTTCTTTTCAAACAAACAGAAAAATCTTTGTCACAATAGGAAAAAATAAAAATTATTGTAATTTTAAGACGTCTTTCTATTATTTTGTTTTTCACGTCCCTATAACTGATATCAACATGAAAAATTTATTAAACTTTGTTATTACTATGGTAAACCTGCAAAAGCAATTAAAATTATCATGGATTTTGTCATTGATTTACCATGAGTCACATTAACGTTAGATTAGCATGAAAGCTCTCGAAACTTGAAATTTTCAACACAACTGGCGCTAATAATATCGTGATGTATAGTCCTGCAAAAGCAGATTTAGTTCAATAATAATCGTTTGCTTCTTAAAATAGCTTCAAAGTAGAACTCCCGTGCTTCTTGATTAATATAAAAATAGTACCAAGTCCACTTTCCACTTTGACGATAAGTATGCAGAACATCATCTAGAAACCGACTCTGTGGGCTTGACGGTAATTCTCAATTGATTAAGACAATTTTTTTTTTTTAATCTACATTTTCCCGCTAAGCAGGTGCTCTTAAGACATAACAGCAAATAATATTTTACAAAAAAAATATTTTTGATACCGTATTTTTGTTTATTTAAACTGTGTTCAAACAAGATGATACCTTTTAAACATAAAAATATGCTTTAACGTGATGACTCGTTTCGATGAAAGAAAAAACATTTATGTACACATTTTTTTTATACAACACATATTCCATATTTTAATTTTTAATTCAATTTACAATGAAGAGATCCGTAGACATAATATCATGTTGTTAAATCGGTAGTACGATAGAAAAAATATTAAGTTTTATGTGTGTGCAACAGTATCCGTCGGCTTCTCAAATTTTTCTCATAAGTATCGCTCCCACGTTATTCGATATACTTTACCAATATATTTATGTACAATGACTATAAAATATCACAAATAGCGATTTTAATGTCTATTCAGTATACCGCAACGGCAGCTAAATTCTCGTCCTTTATTATCTACATCACAAATTTTCGTTGAATTGTTTACAAATAAATAATTCTTCGTTTCACTGACTACGAAAAAAAAACTTATGCTTCATTTGTTTTAAAAATAGTTTCGTACAACTCAACCTTTTTTTTCTACAACAATTATCAAAAAAAAAAAAAAAAAAAAAAAAAAAAAAAAAAAAAAAAAAAAAAAAAAAAAA